ATTCTGGAAGTTCCAGAAAAACGAAGAAACGACGATATTTATGAGGGGAAAATACTGTCCCGAAACTTCCAAGCTCGTCTTTTTGTCGATGCTGAATCAATTCGATCTCACCGAGATTATTCAGCTAAAAGTTGAACGAGATTAAAGGCGATCCGCATTTTCTCGAAACTTGGGCGATGAATTATCAATTGTTCGATATTTCTTTCTTTAATTTAATTTCCATTTAACGACATTGGTAATATAAACTCTGAGAGTTAACACTCTGGAATGAATTTTGAATATAAGATTCACGAAAGGAAAACATGGTTAAATGGTGCAAATATAAAAAATTTACGACGACGGAAAAATTCGCGGAAACTTTCGAAACGCGAAACAATTTTCATATATTCTTGGAACATCGATCGCGATTCGTAAGCTCGAAACGATTCTTGGATCGTGAAACGTTTCGAAAAGTTGGCTCGCGACCGATGAAGGATTCGAGCAACATGGACGAGTAATTTCATAATTTTTCCAAAAACTGCAGAATAAAAAGTCACTTCTCTACGCAACGATTTACTGAATCGAAATTAATTTTCAAACGGGGTTTCGATTTTTGGAAAATTCCATCCCATCTAATAGCAAATGGAAGAGTGTTTTAATCCACGAATAAATACTTTTATTAAACGCAAAGTATACCGATCGTAGTTAATTTTATTTTATTCGGTAAATTTGTTCGATATCGTGAAAAATCGAAGACACAAAGTGGGGGAACGGCTGAGCTGCGACGATCGGGTCGAGGTCGAGTTCCTCGAGTTCCACGACGGACTCGCGAAGCTTATTAATGCGCGTCCCGACAACTGGGTCGGATTTTTCATTGATGAATCACGGGGGCGCCGTGCAAGAATTTCGGGTCTCGGTGCGCCCCAGTTTTGTCGCGATCCACCGTCTCCGTTTCCACTGAAATACAACGTCTGCATTGCCGGCGATAAATTCCCGCGCAGTTGCGTCTTCTTCGAGGTGAATACGCGTGGCTTAATACGGCCCGTCTGAGAAATTATTCATCGGGATTACGCGAGGTTCAACGACCTTGCATACTCGGTGCCAGACTCAGAAATTCAGCCAAAGATCCCGACAAAAATTAACCGAGACGAACAACTCACGATGGTAGATAAAATATCAATATTGCGTCTTCGATTAATTCCTCGCTCGACTGCTGCGTTTAAAAATATATTTCAACAGAACGTACCCAAAATAAAAATCAATCTCTCGAATCATAAATAAATTATATAAAATCGCGATCAAGTGGAGCCTGGAATAATTTAATATTACATAAACGAGGGACACGCGCTTCGGTTTCATTTCGATAATGGTTTCCCAGTCGTTTGATCAGCGATTTCGCGAATCCCGTTCCGGTTCTTTGTTTGCTGGTCGGTTCGTTTGATCGATGGCCACCGATTCGCTTCTATTTACCGGGGAAGTTTACGCCAAATGATATTTAAGCCCGCTGGAACTGGAAACGAGGCCCGCACGGATCCCGAAGTAATTACAAAACTGCAAGAAAAATCGCGTTCGCACGCTGGCAACGTTCCAGCGGATCGTCTACGGAGTCTGTATTTTCGTGTAAATTTAAACTTTCCTCGCCGGAGTTTTAATATATCCGCGATACGTGGAAGCTTTTCTGTGTTCGATCGTTCCCTCGCCGCGTCATCCATTCATGAAGTTTTCTGGAAGAAGTCGAATCTAAACAAATTATTTTTAAGACGGCCAATAAACTTTACGCCCATGATTATCCAGAAATTCATAGTCGTACAACGGATACTACGAAATGGATGTTTTCCGTTAATCAGAATCCTGGACGCGTAGTTTTGATATCGCCCCGTGGAGTGAAAACGCGGAATAACAATGAACGCGAATCTCTCGAGAGCAATGACGAAGCGCAATTAGCGGTTCGTTTGCAGAATCGAATCAGAGAATGGAGTAGCGTTTCCGCGCGCATAACGCGTCGCTTCGACGTCGAACGAATCGACGACATTTTTATTTCGCGACGAGCATCCACGGATAATAATTGTTTTTCGCTGCTATTCGTCGTTCGACAAGAATTTTAATTACGAAATCGATTTATCGCGCGATCGATGGAACGCGGAACGTTTGAAAAGAGAATTTACGGTCGCTTTTTTCCGCGCAAATGGCAAAAAATCGTCATCGAATCACGGTGGCGCGCTTCGCGAAACAAAGGGTGCAAATTAAAAATAAACGTTCTTTTGTTTGCCGCATGCCGATCGCGGAAAAATGGCCGGGACAATGGAACTGTTAATTAATTTCGATCCTTTTAGACGACATTCATAAAGATCGCTGTTTTCGACGTATAGTTTCGAGTTTCGTCATCCGGAAAACCAGCTTGTATCTGGTTGCTTTTCAGCCTCTCCCTCGGGTTGTAAACCTTTCCAAGAGTCGTCTCATCGTCTTGGAAAAAGAAGCGGAAAATCACGTACAGGGCAACGGGAACGATTCGTTGCTCTTCCAACAATGGCTCCCTTTGGTGTCGTTGCACCCTGAATGGGAATGGTCGTCGCCAATTACGGTTCAGGCCGCGGGTACGCGCACGCGAAAAAACACGAAACGCCGGAGACAAGGCTGTATTTTTCAATGGGCATTAACGAGAACGCGCGTCGGCGAGACGCGTTATTACGCGGGTTCGTTTGTAATAACAGTAACGCGACGCTCCCATTCACCGTCGTGCGGCCAGACGACGTCGACGTCGCTAAACTTGGCGACGGAAAAAACATTGAACGCCTGGGAACACTTACGTTAATTACGACCAGAGCCGGAACCGTTCGAACAAATTTAATATTCACGGAATCTACTTTCCTAATTTTTAAACGGGGCCAAAACATCCAAACTCGCGTTATAATACTTTCTTAATACCAAGTCATCCTTAGAATTGAATTTTTAAAGTAACGAAACTCGAATTCCATTTCGACAGAGTTTCGTCGTCATTCGTTGTATCGTAGGAGAGATTTAAGTGCAACAGATACTCGAGAATCTCGTTACACGATATTCAAGAACGCACGACACGCCGAGTTGTTGGCGGTTGGTTAAATACACTGTGTTCGACGCTCCGTTGCGCTGGCGTGGGTGATTTCATTTCTGATTCGCCCGTTTCGTTCGTGCCTCCGCGCGTCGAACAGCGCACGGAAGTGTTAAGTTCTCGTAATTAAAGCTGCAATTACCCGAATACCCCAACGAGAGCGGATACGTATTGATCGTGGATGATAATAGCTCCCTGTTACTCTATTATTAATTTCTGGCTCGGAGATTTCGGTGCTCTCTGTGGACTGCAATAATTTCCACACGGATTTCGATGCTGTCTCGTAATGACTGCACAATGAGGATAAATGTCCGATTGGATTTGTTTGTACCCTCGTTTCTATGTTATTGTTTAAAGAATACTCTATAATCGTGTGTTAAATACCCTTGTCTCAGATTTGTTCAATAATGAAAGCTACAAACTGTACTATTAATTTATTTTGACGCTAGTTTCTCCCAACTCAAATTCACATATATTAAAAATTTACATAACACTTCCTATCTAGATTTTCCACGTCTTGCATTTGCATTTGGTTCAGAAAATTCCCGAGGCCTTTTTATTTCGAAGCTGAACTTAACCCCGAATCACTTTTTACGAAATGACCGGATTGTAGACGAAAGGGAGTTCCTTTCTAATATTTTTCAGTCGTCGAAAGTTCTGAAAAAACGATGGCCGACGCTCGCGCGAATTCCGATATCGATGCAGCGTCCGCCGCGATCTATGCCCGGTGATTTCAACGCCGATGGAACGCTCGAACGATATCGTTCGCGTTCGAGGAGTTTCCTGTAGCGAACGACGCTGTACAATTTTCCACGGGCGGTTTGTATCGCCGGAAAAAATATTTCTCTCGCGGTGCTTTATGACGCACGTTAAAACGCAGCCCAGGAGTGCACACAAAGCGTCGTGACGCCAGTACCGACTGCGTAGGCGCCCTTTCTTCTGCGTTCGTTCGCGGTAATCTTGACCGTGGTCATTTGCCATTTTAAAATATTCTCCCGTCGACGCAATTTCTAAAAAAGAAACGTTTTGTAGAAGTTGAAAAGTTGAGTAATTTGAAAAGGTTGCTATCGAGAAATCCTTCCAGAAACATGTTACCGAAGCATTGAGTTTGTAATCAAAGTTGATTCAAACTTCTGGTCTAATTAACGTTTCAATGAAATTTCGCGAGATTTCTGCGCGTCGAGTTCGTGTTCGAGGAAGAAGAGAAACGTTTCTCCGCGCGATAAAGCGTCGCGAGAAGTTAAATGAGCCGCGTTGAGGCGCAACGTAAGATGAGATACGACGTGGGCGTAATGTAAAATGCACGGGGAACAAGAAACGACTCGCGTATTTTATTTTAATTCTACACGACTTTTACTCGTCGGGCGTTTGTTTCCTATTCTTTCCGCCTTGAATCCAACCTCGCGCCCAGCGCTGTTTTGCATAATGCACGCCGGGTGCAACGATACTAAACGAGCCTCCGCGCCTCGGTTGCTGGTGTCGACTAAAAGCCTCTCTCGCTTCCATCGAGGCAGGGTTCGCGTTATAAGCGAGCGTTTGCTCCTCGTAACCGCGGAACACTCGCCTCGAACGGAATCGCGAACTCGTTTGCCACTCTGTGAATATTACAGGATGCACGGAATCTTGAATCCGGACCCAGCAGATAGTTATTTCGAGCCAACGGTGGGCGTACATGCGAACAATAACGGTTGCATTGCTAAAATTTTGATAATAAGAACTAACGAAACAGGAATTCGTTGCATATATATTAAATCTATATTACATCGAAATACCCTCCATTTTGAATCTCCAGGTTATTTCTGAGATTATTTTTAAGGTCTACAGTTTAACCATTTCTTGGTAAAGAGAAGTTATGTGTTTAAGAAATTATTAATTTAAATATTATTTGGGTTTTGTTGGACAGATATTTAACAGGCTGTTTTTTTAATTTCAGGTGAGTCGAATGGAAAATCTTTAACGAAAGATAGTCGATACGATTCTCGGTTAAATCGAGGTGAGTCGTGCTTGTGTTCATTAAGGCGTGTAAAGTTGATTAGGGTTGCTATTGATCAACACGAAACTATTGCAGTATTTGGAATAGTTTGATTCCCTTCAAACAGTTTAGAAGCTCTAACGTTTAACCAATACATAATTTATTAGGATCAGAATATTTCAATATCGAGGTCGACAGTTACCTTGATATTCAAGTGAAAAAAACAAGTTACGAATCTCTGTTGCTTATTAACTTTCCATTATTTTATATTTATCGTTTGTACATGATCGATGTTTGTTTGTTAAAATAGTATTTTGTTCCTTTCTACCAACACTCTGATATTAATCACAATTTTTATTGTCATGGTTGTTGCATGCTATATTTCTATAATTTGTGTAGACAGTAACGTGTTTGGATATCCCTGATATTTGAAATATTTTTGTGTTTAATTAGATGTTACGAAACTTCGATAATGCCGATAATCACAGAATAGATAGCTCTAATACGAAATTGCTTGGAAGTCTACGCCTTAAAATATTAAAATATTCCCCCAGGCGCCACGATATCGGTGCATTAAAATTTTCGCTTTAATATCAAAGACGTTGCGAAATGGACGCTCTTGCGCGTTAAAAAATTAACTTTTAATTAGGTTTTAGAGCGAGCCGCGTCGTTCGTTTTATCGACAATCGATGGAGATGCCAATATTCCGATGTGGGATCGTTTCATGAAACTGCAATTTGTGGATAATTATCGGTCGCCGCGCGACAGCGAATCGGGATCATTCGTGTCGACACTGACGGCTAATTAGTGTCGCACTTTCGTGCGATCGGTCGACGCTGATTTAACGATAGAACGCGAATTCCAACGGACAGGATAATTCCACCGAAATTCGAGCTTCGTACGGCGCCTGGGTATTTTTACCGCCTCAACCTCAATTCATACTTAATTCTCAACAACAGTAAATTAGTTAACTGGACGAAGCTTCTTACACTTTCTATGCAATTTTACTTAATTTCTATCTATTCGCCGCTGTGCTCCAAACATCATATTTCACTCTTCTTCCATTTTCTGAGGATGAAGATCCTCTCATTACTCATCGAGATCTTGCAATTCTACGAATACTAAATTAACCCCTAAGTGGACTCTCAATCTCAACTGAATTATTTTTGCCAAATTGGTAAATGGAAATCAACTTTGAAGCGTTCGAAAAATAATGAACCAACGGAGGATTACATAAATTTTCAAATAAATACATTTACATATATTAAACGATAGTCAGTTTAAAATTTCACGCATTTTATGCATTTCGTTCTTCTTCGTTACGGATCAAGTCTTCCAAGGATTTAACCCTGGAAAAGAGGGGGCACGCCCATCGATACGAAATAATTTATTCCGACGAGCGATATCCAGTTTCAATTGTTATTGGAATAATCGGCAGCTCGGTTTTTTCTCGTGAAATCCACGGTTTGCAAATCGTATTAAGCGTTTTGCCAGTCGCAGCTGCAACGCGGCCCGCTTCTCGCAGCTGTTTCCAACGGGGCGATAAAAGGATCGCCGTATTAACCCCGGCCGCCTCGAATATATTCCACGCGTCGCCGAGCTCCCATCGGCGTTTCGACGCTCGTAGCCAGCGCGAGGCTATCGCAAAAACGGTAATTCGACGTCTGGCAGTCGCGATCGCGTTACACGGTCATTCCGGGCGATGATCGTTCTCGCGTTCCCGTTGCGCGAGATTAATCGAACCGCGAACAAGAACGCCAATCGAATCGCGCGACCGGAAACGCGTAGCCTCGATAAAAAAAAGAAAAAACCGTCGCGCGGTTGGCAAATGGACCCTGGAATTTTTTAAGGAACTTCGCGAAATTTCGTACTATTTTAGAATATTTTCCTCGAAATGGAGCCATTTAATTGAAAACGTTCGGAGCAAATAATTGAACGATGGGGCAGTTATTGAATTTTAATTATTTAATCACTTGCGGTGAATCTAACGATCCTGGATGGCTGTTCGAATTATTAACCTTTTAAATATTAAGTTACATTGTGAATAAACCATTCTCTTGGTGCTTTATATAACTTAAAGTTGGAGTGTATGTTCTACAATTTGTCTTCTGCAAAGTTCGTTGGTATTGTATATTTTTATTTGAAATTATAATTGCTCGTAGAGCTTCTTGTTCTTTTGACAGAACAACTTCGAAGTTGGAATATATTTACTACAATTTGTCTTCTGCAAAGTTCGTTGGTATCGTATATTTTTATTTGAAATTGTAAGTTTTCGAAGAGCTTGTTCTTTTAAAAGAACAACTTCGAAAACTCCTTGAGAAATTATCATTTTAAATAAAAATAATACGAAGTTTGCACGAGACATATATAATATAGGACTAGAAAACTTCTAAATAATATAAACCAACAAGAGAACGTGTTTTTAACTTCCAGTACCATTTTATTTAACATCGATACAGATTTTACAATTCCATCCAGTCCCATGATTATCTCATTGCGGTGAGAATTTCGTTTCTAAGGACGACACGAGCACGATGGTCGAGGAACGCCGAAATTGGGGTTTTCGGGGGTTAATATCGCAGGGGTTGGCGTAGTCGTTAGAGCCTCAGAGGTTCGACGCAAAGAAACCACGTTCGCGTTTCTCGCGTTGCAAGCGGGTTCCAGAGGAAATCGGTGTGTGGGAGCTGTGTCTCGTTAGATAAAATACAAACGTCCCGGTTCCTTTTAGGCCGTGGTTCGTAATGGACGAGCCCGTGGTCCATCCCCGGGGGAAAGGGGACTAGGTTACGAGCGGGCAGATCGCGAAAGCCCCACGGGCCATTAATCAGACGTTAAACCCACGAAAAGACAGAGGCCGAAAAGCCCCTGGTTTGATCGCGGTCGGGTGGCTGTTTTTTACGACCGAGCCGGCAGATTTCCGAGGACAGAAACTCCTCGCCACTATTGACCCACTTTTATGGCCCCTCCGGTTTTTATTCGCCGATCGACGTTTCCTCCGATCGGTGTTCATTGCCCGGGCATAAAAAAAAAAAGCGTCTCGTCGAGCGTCGTAAATCGAAATTAAATAAAACCCGAATCAAAATTTTCGACAAAGAACGAGAAGACACTCGTATTGGAAATTTAAATTATTCATGATTACATCCCGGCATCCAGCGGGCTCTTTATTAACAATCGTACCTTGGGAAGATTCCCCCCATTCTTCTCCCGATAAATCCTCAAAAATTCTATTCAACGCTGCCTGCGAACGGGAGCCTCTGAAAGGAGGGAAATTCCAATAAAAGGAACACGGGTACAGTTCCTTAATTGAAGCGCGGCGAACGTCGTCGCGAGACGTTTCGCGGAGATAAAAATTCATAAATGCGAAATCGAACGAGCCGTTTACTTATGAAAATAGAATCCCTCCGCGAGAACCGTTCTTACGTTTCTTATTCCCGGGTAGATTCTTCGCGCGAAACTGGAACAACTCCAAACGTTGAATTTTTATCGTAAAACGTATATCGTTCCCGCGAAAAAAGGTGACACGATTAAGAAGTTTTCGATTTGGGAATTGTCCAACGAGTCGTAGGAAAATATTTAATATATTACAATTCTGACTCGTGATTAAACACAGCGTGTCTGGTATGGCAGTCGACGTTGTTAGTGTCGCCACAGTTAATGGTTTAATGCATCCAGTGGAATCCGAATCAAAGTATCGTGAAATCGAGATCCATCCGCTCGAGGAATCCTCTCAAGTCGCGACTCGAAACAACTCGAGTTTCCTTCCCAAGATTGCTGTTGTTAGCTTTCGCCTCCACGAGCATTAGGACTTCGCGTTGATCAACAAACTTAAGGCATATGTTAGTCGAACTATTCCATGTAACCGCAATTACAACTTTGGAATAAGACACACAATGGACCGTCTCAATTTTCAACCTGTTTTCAGTATACAGAAATTAAGAAACAATAGCAGAGCTATTATTATTAAGATTCCTTTCTCAGAGGAATTTGTTCATTCTATAAACTACGAACGAACACATTTTTACCTTTCGTTTCTCCATCTCCCTTCGACACTTATCGAAATAATTTATCAATTAAAGCGATCGATCGTTCATTGTGATTTCTAACGACCATCGATACTTCACGAAGCCAGACTTTTCTTTCTCTGCGTCGTTGTGTAAGTAATGGACCAGCCAGTCCCATAATTTCGCGTTATCGTGATTTCCCAACGAAGATATAGCATCGTGCAACGCGCAGTCGATACGTTCTTACGGAGTGCTCGTGTTCGCGGCGATCGTAGAAGCAATAATGCTGTCGGTGGACAAGGTCGTTCGCGATAAATTGTGTTTCAACCCCCGTGCAGTCCGGGGGTCGGTTTATGGAATCCCGCGTATGATTAATATATGAACAGAGCGGAATATCCCCGCGGACCAGTCAATCCGTTTGATTTCCATCGTTTGCGTTTGCTTTGCTGAATTTATATTCCGTCGCCACTTGGGAGTTTTTGTTCGACGGTTCGACGCAAACGAGCACGAGAGCCGATGAAATATTCAATTCGACGAAAGTATTCCAACATATCGCGCTCGATGATTTCTATAAAACTATTTTCGACAAGCTTTTAATAGCGTTTCATGTGGAGCATAGGAGAGTCTGTAACTTGTTCAAAAAATACGGTGAACGTCGTTGGAAGGCAAACAAAGCTCGAGCGAGATCTCGACTCGATTCAGCGCCGTTTGAAGCGCGGTGTTTCTACATTTGTTTAAAACAACAGACGCAAAGTTTGCGCGGAAAGTGTTCGCGCGTCGGGAAGACAAAGAAGAACTTCATTTGATATAACAACACGACCAGGGCCGAGGAAACATCGCGCTAACAGCGTTACACGCAACGCGTTTGCATCTCGCTGATTTCTCCTATTTAAACGCGAAATTTCTAACCGGTGAGTTTCGCGTTAACGTTATAACGAAATTAAAAACAAACTTACTAATAATATTTATTCTATTAGTACAGCCTGTCGATTTAGCGAACGGTGTTGCAAAAAATTCTAA